AAAAATGCATTTTTGTTTATTTCTTTCTCTTATGACCTTGCAGCCTGAAAATGCAACATGTGAATACCCATCCCAAGGTATGGGATGGGCTTCAAGTTACAGACCAGGATCTGAGCTGCAGGGAGGTGATTGGACCAGCTCATCAGTGCTCCTCATGGGCCCCTGATGCCCTTGGTCCCTGTATGATGTCTTGCAGTGTCCCTAGGTGGATTAGTGGCAGTTGACCGTATGTCTTGGGATAGATGCTGGTTTGTGGGCCATTTAGGGTTCCTAGTTCCTTTTGAATAAAAAGTTAATGGTGCAAATTTGAGATGCTTTTATGATTTGTCCTCGGTAGAGGACAGCTTTCTTGGAAGATGCTGTTGCATTTTCAAAATTGATTTAAAAATAGGGGAGGCTCTGCGTTGTGAACAGGGAGCTCTGCTCAACTCATCACGTGTGGACCAAGAGTGTGTGGACAGGAATTCCCATTTTTGAGGCATATTTTAGAAGATGGGGCCAGAGGTGTCAGATGGAGATGCTCACCAGGCTGGGACTTCCAGGGTGCTGAGGGGGTGTTCCCAGCAAACTGGGTTTGTGCAGAACAGACAGCCACAAAAGTTTCACGGTTGCGGAAGAGGATTTCTGAAAGGGCAGAATTTGGCTCAAAGTGCTTCTCTGAGGTTGTGGTGCCTGCAGCAGCCATTGGACTGTGTTTTAACCACAGGGTGAAAAGTGCTGCCTGTGTAAAGCAAATACTCCTCTGCCCACTTGTATTCAATAGCAATGACTGTGCAAAGCCTGTGAGTGGCTAATTCTAGTGTAGGTTTGTTTGGGGTTTTTAGCATAGAGACTGTCAGTCCTGTAAACCACACACACTCCGACCCTCATTTCCATCTGCTCAAGGTAGTATATGACTCATCTAGCACTGTAGTAGAATTTCTTCGTATTTGTTGCACATAGAACAACAACTTATTTAACTTTTCAATCTTTATAAAACATAAAATATACTGTACTTGAAAGTTTAGTATCAAATAGAATGGCTTTCTTATGCTGAGTAACATACATTTTTAGGAGAAGACAGATTGTAGTGATGTTACATCCCCAACCTACAGTAGTTTATATAAGGGAAATATTGGTACCCTCTCAAATGGAAACAGTATTTAGGTCTGTTACTCCAAAGACTCTCTTATCATACCTTTGGTAGTAAATGTTAATTTAAATAGTAATGAGAAACATTGGAGAGTGCAATTAGAAGGTTTTAAGATGATTGCTGTTCCAAAGTGGGAGTCTGTGCTGGTCTTATTGTAAATTAAGACTTTGAGTAATGCTCTGGGACGTATTTTCATGTTTGTAACTATAATTTGAGTGTTGGAATACTAATAATTCAAATTCGCTCTAAAGAGAAAGTTTGAGGTGTCTAATTATAAGTGTGAACACTGGTATAGTTTTAATATAATACATTCTTTTATGAAGGAGTAATCATTGATGTTTATTATTGCTTTTGTTAAGTCTAGAGTCCAAGTTTTGCTTAAGTCTGATTTGAGAAACAGAGAAGCCTCATTATTAACAGCTCACATTAATTACAGGGAGATGGGACAGCAGAGATGAGCATCATTTCCCGTATCTTCAGCTAAGAAGAATTGAAAGAGCAGCACTTTGGTGGCTGCTGTTTGGAATTGAAGCGCTTGTTTCAGTTAGAAAAGAGAGACACAGTAAAACACATCCTCCCAAAGCAAAGGCTACTGTAGGAATTGTTAAATGCTGCCTTATTCTTAAAAAAAAAAAAAAGGTCATGGGCAATTTACTATCTCTATTCATTGGATGAGGACCCAGGATGGTGTTTTTTTCTGGGTGCTGCAGATGAAGGCCAGTCCTAAGTCTGCTGCCTTATTCCAGTCTGGGTCAGTCAGTTTCAGAGCAGACACTTGCTGTCCCCTTGGCTTCTGTTGATTTTAGGATTAGTACCAAACCTGGGAAATTGAGGTGTTTCAGAAAAATAGAGGTAGCTGAGCCAGTGTAACTGGTGGACCTTTAAATACCTGCAGCGTCACGATAAAGACCAGCTTGAGCAGACACATTTCGGCTCATCATTTACTAGAAAGACCAGAAAGTCTTTCAGTGGGTCTGATTGTGACTAGGTTCTGCTGATTGTGGCTTTGTTTTGAGTGGAATTGGGACTAGCTTTAAGGCTGCCAACCGAAGGGTTCAAACATACTTTTCTTGTGGAGACATGACATACCCCTGCATGTGAGAGCTGACACCTGCAGGAGACTGCTCCTCTTTGGAGCAGGGCTCAATTTCAGTTTTCTTAAACTGAACTAAACAGTTCTGTAAGGTTTAAAGCAGTGGTTAGTGCTGAGATTGATCCTCAGGTTTTAGCTTTTATATTTTTCAGATTCTGTACTGCTTTAGTGTGTAGTTCCAAGCTTCATATTAGGGGATGGTAAGCTCTCTTCACAGAGTAGGTGGACAAAACAATTCCTTCTCTAGCTGGGGACCAAGGACAAATGATCCAAATTTCAGTCCCAAGAGCATAAAATCATGGACTGAAGGGAGAAAAACAAGGATGGAACTTCATAACTTAAAGCTGTAATTGGACAATTTACTCCAATATGCAAATGCAGCAGAATTTATAAAAGTGAGAAACCCATGACCAGTCATCCATTTTATGACCATTTTGGGTTCACCTTGGGTGTAGCCCTGGCTGGGCTCTTGTACTGCCCAAGGTGTGTCAAAAAAAGGTGTGTGTTGAGGCCTTCTAATAAATACCTGCTTTATTCTTTAGCTCCATCTAGCCTCTGTGCTAGGTCAGCCTCCTCAAGGCATCAAGATGGAGGATTGGTTATTGGATCCTTGCACTTCAGACAAAGTTGGATGAGGAAAAAGAGAATGCTTTGTCCCATCCAGTGTTGGTGAGGGATGAAGCCATCTCACTGAACAGAGCCAGCCTTGCATCTCCCAGTACCAGGACCCCAGCTGGACTCTGTAACTGGTTTGCTAGCTTTGATTCCAGAAGGAGTTACCAGTCTGGATCTAGTGACAGCTAAGGATGAAGGTCAACCCTGGGACTGCAGATTTCCTTCTGCTCTTTGCTGGGATTGTGTTGCCTAGGGGCAGTGCTTGCAGGTAGGATTAATATCAGATTAAATAAAAGTATGGGATGGGATGGGACCAGAGTGAATAAAATACCTTATTTGTTCAGTTCTTCACAATTTTGGTGAACTAACTGACTTTTCTGCCTGTATCCAACTCACTCAGAAACTCCTTTTGTGGGTGATGAGTGAATCTCTGTGCATAGTTCTGACCCTTTACATTTCTTTTCCATGGTAAATTGTTATTTATAGAAAGGAGTTTGACAGAAGCTGTGGAATTATTGGCTGTATGTCTTAAAAAGCAAGCCAGATGAGGAACAAAAATAATTTGGATTCAAATTCCTTTAAGTCCAAGCTGTGCATTAGCTCTGCTGCTATTCATGGGATCCACTAAAAATCTGCATTATGGCCTTTTGGATTTCTTCAGTTCTTCTTTTATCTTTAAAAAATTTGGAACGTCAGCCTAATTAAACCCTGAGAAAACAAGAATTTGGTATAGCTTAAAATTTGCTGAGCAGACATGGAAGAAGCTGGGAACACAAACAGGAGGAATATATGGAGCAAAGTGAGACTGTGGCGTTACTGTTTGGGGAAAGCTGTTGTTTTGCAAATCATTCCTCTGGATTAGGGAATAACCTGGGATGCCCTAGAGACATACCTGGGCACCAAGTCAGAGTCATGCACAAACACATGGCAAAGGACTGACTTGCACTTGGCCCTGGCCATTTGCTTTTCCATTTGCACAGCAAGATGGGTTGGTCAACCAGGCAGGCAAAGCACGAGGCTGCCACCTCCCTGCGGCACAGCCACGAGCTCCCGAGGCAAGGACAGTCTTTGAGAGGGAGGAAGAACAGCCAAAGCCAGATGGGATTGCCAGCTGCTGGGAAAACATTAGGGAAGGATGGGGGGGAAAGCTGCAGTATTTGTAAATATTATTATGTGCATCAAGTTCAACGTGCCTTGGTGTTGTGAAAAGCTTTGGCAGTGCTTTGCAGGGAATTACGTCTGCAGTGAAATGTGAGCAGATGAAAATGGAAGCAATCATGCTAAACACTCCTGAGGCTTTACCCTTCCAAATGTTTATGTTTATGTTTTTGTGGCTCCTGTTTTGATCACCTGTTTGCAGCTGAGTGTTTTCCCCTTCCTCCTTGGATTTTAAGGGAGCAGCAGACTAATAAAGGGCAGGATTTCTCTTCCTCCTCTGTTCTCACACCCTGTTTGGAAGATGAGTGGAATGTTCTGCAAGCAGATCTGAAGCAGGTCCCTAAGCTTTTCGGAGACATAATGAGGGTCTCTATGTTGTGTGTGCCCACTCCCCAGAGGCCTGTCAGACTAGAAACAAGAGTTTTGGTGTTGTTAAAAAAACTGTTGTTGAGAAAAAATAAATTTTCATTTCCTGTCTTGATAAAGACCAAACTTGCTCAGCCCTGCACATTATGGTGGCCTATGCTTAGGTCTTTGGTGAGTCTGGGCTTTCCCAGTCCATCCCTCACCCTCCAACACATTTTCTGTGCAGTGAGACAGCCTGGGTCTCTGTGTTAAAACAGAAGATTTTAATGGGATGCCATTCCCCTCCCTGGTACACATCATCCACACTTTCCTCACCACGGGGGACGCTCCTGGAGGCTGATATTTCATATCACCACCTTGCCATGCCCATCTATGACAAGGAGATCATTTGAGTCGCTCGCCTCATTGGGTTGCAGACCTTTATGAACACCGCAACGAATAGCCCCAGTAAGTGGAAGATTAATTCCTATAGCACCTGGCAGCAAGCTGTGGATTAGGCTGCTGTCCCTCGTGTGGGTTTAATGTTGGAGGAATGGGGCACTCGAGCACCCAGACAATCAGCCTTTTGTTTCAGCAATGAGCCTCTCGGTCTCGTTAGCCAGCGCTCTTAAATTTTCATTTTATTCTGGTATGCAGGCTTGTGTGATGTGGAGAATTGCTTCAGCACAGAGAGACTGCAAACCTGTTCAATTAAAGGAAATGCTCAGATCCAGCTGTTGGAGTCCCATGAATGCCAGTACTCCTCACAGAGTAAGACCAACACACTCTGCCCTTGGAACAGATACGATGATTTGTGCCTTAATTCTCCAGAAAAAAAGAGCCTTTGTTGGGAGAGGACGATTGGGGAATGGAGGAGGAATGCAAAGCGTGTGCAGAAAATGCCCAGTGAGACCAAGTTTTCTGCAGATAACACAGAGGGCTCTATAGCATGAGCCCGGTAACAAGGCACCATCGAAGCACGTACGGTACAAGCTCCTGTTACAGCTATAGAATTGTCTTGTACGCTTTGTAAATGCTTTCCTCTCATGAAAAAAAAACATGCTGTGGAGTAATTTACCCTGTGCTTTCACTTCCAAGGAGCAGGCCAACAAGCACAGCCCTGGTATGTGACCACACAGTGCACTATTTGTGCCTGGGCTTTCAGTTTCCTTAGTTTTGGTGACAAGTTTCTTGTCGGTGACAGAAGTGTTGGGCCAGTGTTGGATGGTCACCTAGATATGCTAGATGATTTTGTACAGGTGTTTTTATAAAAGCCCTTTTATATCTTTTATGTATAGCTATACTTATCAATAGACATATTATTTATCTAAAAAGATAATATTATATATATTTATACATATATATATAAATAAAGGGCTGTAGCTGTTTCAGTAGGTGCTGAATACACTTCAGCTACAAATGCACAGCAGCTGACTTATTGCTCACGTCTCAACCAAGAGCTGAGTTTCTAAGACTGCGGCAGGGGAAGGAAGACAATGGAATGGGATGAATCACAGGAAGAAATGATGGGCTTCACCTGAGTGGCAGAATCCATGTCCCTACAGGCACCTGGAATCCTCACTCCAAAGCAGGGGCTGATAACCTCTTGTCTGACTTCAGGAACCACCCTGTCTCTGGAAATGCAGTTTTCCCCACTCCTGCTGTCACTTGCCCCTCAATCTCACTTTGTTAACTGTTTAGAAATTGTGACATGGGGACTTTAAAAAGATACTAGGCACAGTTTCAGCTGCTGAGGTGGAGATGGGTTTCTGACTGGCCCGCAGTGGCAGGCAGGCTGCTGCTGGCCCCTAGGCTGCACTCATGCCATTTGTCACAGAGGCTAAAACAGAAAAGGTTGCATTTTAATTTATAGCTGTGTGAGGTGCACAGGATTGCACCCTGTGCTGAACTGAACAATAAAGTCTTGATTGTTAATTGGCTGCCCCAATTGTCTTTTTTAGTCAAGTATATGTCCATCTTCCCCCTTATATAGATATATATTTGTATCTTTACATATATACATATACATACATATACATAGGTATCTATACATATATATCTATATATATATATGTACATATAAAATATGTACACATATGCAAATATATATGTACTTATGTGTGTCTGGGTGTGTGTGTATATAAATACACACACATATCTATAGATGCATCACTTAGGTACATGTTATAAAAGCCTGACTTTATTGCCAGGTTGAGAAAGGGCTCTGGTGCTTTAAATCAGTGCAGAAGATGAAGCAGCTGTTGGGTCAAATCTTTGCAGCTTTTCTATTGTGTGATTCTTGTTTCAGGCAGCAGCTGAGCCCACAGGCTCTGTGCAAGAAATTTTGCTGAAGAAATCCCCTCTGCACGTGGCCAGCAACCTGAATCAGCCTTTTCTGGTGGATGGTGAAACAGTGGAAGACCTTTGAAGGAAATTGTTACCATGGGGTTTGTCTGTCTGCGGAGGTATGTACAACACCCCTTGCCCCTGCTTCATTTATTTGTTTTTAAAGTGTATTTTATAGACACTTTGCTAAAAAGAGATTGAAGGAGCTGCTTTGTAAATCAAAAATTCTGTCTGCATAATATGATCTATATCTGGTTATTTTTTCAGGTAAGTTAAAATGCAAAACCAGAGACAGTTGTGAGGTGGTATATAAGTCAAGAGTTGGAACACTAAGGTGAGTGGGCTGCAAACAAACACTTAATGCCTCCCAGCACTGTTCCTCTGTGTTTGGGGCAACTGAAAACAGAGTAAACAGTAAAAAAAAATCTGCAGAGCCCAAGCTTTACTGAGTTTTTGGTTCACTGACTAGTGGAGATGCTTCAAGACCTCTCCCACAGCAGGCTGGCAGAGTTATAAACCTAGACTTTAATGAGCAATGTCTCTAACTATTAATAACCTTGCTTTGGATTTGGGTTTTTTGCAGATGTGCTTCCCTGAGGAGCAAGAGGGGACAACTTGGCTCCAGGAGCTATAGGTCTGTCCCAACCCAGCTGGACACGTTCCTGCACCCTCAGCATCTCTCCTGCTGCTGCGGAGGTGCTTGCAGAGAGCAATCTGCCATGCCTGCACCTTCACCTGCAGGGCTGTGCCTTCTCCTGCAGCCACAGAAACCTGCTCCTGTGTGCAGGAGGAGTATTAGGCCACCACTGACAGGGCTTCAGCTCACACAGAGCCAGGGCTGTGCTGTGAGGGGGAACGGAACACAAAAAAAACCTTCCAGCCTTGAAAGACCAGCGGGATTCGAGGCAGAATCCTGCTGCACAGCAGCCAGACTGGCTGGCACCCCAGCAGGGCACTTCATCCTCAGACAGCTGCAGCTGGCCATGACAGCAGCCAGGCTGGGCAGGCTGGAGCAGGCTGCAGGGCAGCTATGGGGGGAATGCATTGGCACCCAGGGGTGCTGCTCCTTGCACTGCACAAACCACACGTGCTGTACGTGTGAGACACAAACCCCGAGTGCATGCCCTGAGTGCACAGCACACTGGAGACACAAAACACACAACCCCTCCACTCCTGAAACACACAACACCCGGCTGCACAGCACCGCCACACTGTGACATGGCAGGCAAAGGAGGGCTGTGCTGCAGACAGGGGCTACAAGCCACAGCAGCCACCCTCGGTGGAGGCAGGGTCTGGGTGCTGCTCCTGCTTTGCCAGCTCAGCTTTCCCAGACTCTTCCTTTCTCACACTGCTGGGGTTGACAGTGAGCAAAAGCAGAGCACAGCACATCCCCCTGGGCAGCAGAGCAGAGAAAGCTGCATTCACCATCTCCATTCTTTCCTCTGCCCATCACCTTTAACTAAACACCAAATAACCAAATAATAATCCATAATATTTGTCTTAAACCATCTCAGCTTTCCCAAAGCACTTGTCCTGTTGACCCTCAATAATATCAGGATGCATTCAAGTCTTGCTTGAGGCAATGCTGTGCCTGGTGGCATACACTAAGCCATGCACGGTGCTAAAGACAGCTGGGTAGCTCAGGAGCAGAAGGCTGTTACAAGCTGGAGACTGACACTCATTTCCCCCAAATATTTAATAACAGTGGTTAATTTCAATGTCCTACCTGAGTCACTTGTTTGAAGCCAAGTAACCAAAACCACCACCAACAAAAAACCTTTTATACCTTAGCATTATGGTACAGCAACCATCCCTCTGCAGTGTGAGCTTCAAGTTGGCTGACTTAATTCACAACTCCATTTTATTTGCCAAGTATATTCACTCTTTCCCAAGTAAAAGATTCCATCTCAGTAAGGTGGTTAACAACACACCCTCTCTCCCCTCTGAGGAGAAGCAGATGCACACTCCAGCATTCTCAGCAAACATTACCTCCACAGCAGCAAGTCAGAGGTAGCCCCCAAACAGCTCTCTCTGTGCCTGTGCTGGGGCACAGCAGATGCTCAGCTAGGGAAGAGCCAGCCTGCTCCCCTGTGTAACCCAACTCCCCCCGTGCCACAGCCTGAGCGTTTCAGCTGTGAGTGAGCCTTAGCAGGAATGCTGCAGGACAGTGCTCCTGCCTGCTAAGCATAGCTTTGGGGGTCACACATCTTCCTTCTCTCGCTGGAGGGACTTGCATGCCCAGCAGGCAGAGACCTGCCTTTCTCACTAAACTGCTCCTGGTGCTGTTAATAAACCAAGCCTGGAGCAAAAGCTGTGTTTTGATTGATGCTGGACAGAGCGACTCACCAAGTTTGCTGTGGTAGAAGCCCACACCTTAAAAAAAAAAAAAAACCAAAAACAAAAAACCAACCAAACAAAAAAAACACACACAAAAAAAGAAAAACTGCTATTAAGCACAATAAGCTGTTGCATGCTCTACCTCAGGGTGCAGGCCTGTGCTGGGGCTGAGGAGAGCAGGACCTACAGTTTTCGGGGATTTAAAATTTTTTTTGTTTATGTATTGAGTCAGAAACAGGTGGGGGCACTCTCCTGCCCTCTGGAGTCCTTCAGCATCTGTGTGTCACTCGCTCTGCTCACCAAGAGCCACCCACCAAAAGTCACTCCCAGCTTGAGGCCACCAGCAGCACATGTCCTTGGAGTTCACTGAGGAAAAGGCAACTTCACCTGCAGAGTTTATAAAATTTGGAAGCATTGATCAGCTCAGAATTCGCGCAAAAGGGGTGCACATCTTCTGTGAAACTGAAGTATGAAAACTCCTTCCACCAATACCCTTCTGAGGTACCAATTTCATGAATGTTAACAGCAGAGTGGCACTAGGAAGTTTCTACCAGACCTTGTCAAAGGGAAAAGACACTGGGGATCCTTTGTTATTTCTGAATAAAGGTTTTAAATTACACATCCATCTCCTATTTTAGGAGGGATTTTGACACCAGTGAGGAAGAATGAAGTTGGTAGTAGGGGTGAAGGGGACCTGCATGCCCTGCTGGTGAAGGGTCACACAAAGTGTGACAGGTAACACAATGTGTGCTGGTGACTCCTCCCATCCTGAGACTCAGGCAAATCCACTGCAGCCTGCTGGCCAGCACAGAAAGCCTCACAAGTGTGGATAGGTACACCCAGCAAGCAAGCAGATAAACCTAAATCAGGTACAATCACATCAAAGAGTCAGTTCTCAAAAAAAAAAAAAAAAAATTATTCAGGGTATTATAGGTACAATCTAGCATAGCATAACACCAGCTCAGGGTGCCATGAAGTCAAAACAGCTGCTGAGCTGCCACCACAACTTGAGTTTCCGTGAAGTACTAAAGTTTGTATCTCTAACCTTGAGTTTAATGCATCTTAGAGGTGTTTCCACATTACACCAATATATGACATGTGTATGCTAAGGTATACGATACTTAATATTTAAATACACTCAGGCACAACAGCAAAGTTCCAGAAACTGAACAAAAGTTTCTTCATAGGTCATCTAGGTTATCCCACCACTATTCTTTTGTGAAAAATACATCTACAATGGTCCCCATAGATTTATGTGCCTCCACACCTGATCCGTGCTTGCCAGCTATATAGTGCACTCTGTGAAGCCCCTTGTGAAGTTTGTAAATAAAACAATGCTGGACAATCTTATTTCTAGGGACATCTTTAGTACTGTCTAAACTTACTCCTTTTCTTTGGCATTTGTATTTCATTTTTCCTTCTCCTCTGATTGAGGCCAAGCAGATAATTTTCTTCATTGCCTCCCCACCTTGGGTGTCACATGTTCTAGATCCAGTTGTGGATTTAATTCCAGTGATCCAGAGGAAGGAGCAGCCTCCTTGCTCTTACTTTAATCAGAGGAATCAAGCAGAAAATCCCCCATATGGAGTCAGTAACTTTTATCCTGTGACCCAGGACACATATATCCA